TGGCACCACAAACGTACGAGTTCACCCTGCAACACCTACCAAATTAAATCGGGGGAGTCGTCACCTGCGCATGCGTTCAGATGGCCATAGCGTGTCATTGTTTACAAACAAGCGTCTACCCATGAGCCTTCGCGTTTTTAGCGCGTGTTATTATCGTCGCTTGCGACTCAATTCCCGCGCGTGCGCAGGTGACGACCCTCCCGCTTTAAATACAGCGAAGTACGTACAGGCTAATTTTAATAAATTGTATTTATTCACAGAATAAAATATTTGAATGGGAGGCATACGTGAATTATTATTTTATGAACTTGTTTATATATATTTCACAAACGACACGTATGGAAAACAAAAAACTATTGTTATTTGAACATAATTTTAATTTGCCCAGAATTCCTGGATCAAGCGCCCGTGCACATTATTCCTTTTCACAGTTTCTCGTGTCTCATCCTCGCGGGAGATGTCTCGGATCGCACTAACTTAAACTTTAATGAGTGGATGAATAAAGTCAATATATAAACATGTATCGACACCATTGTTTACATACTAGTATGCTACGCACTCCTTAGGCAATATGCGCTCCAATTAAACAGCGGAGTAGAGTGTGTGTGGGGGGGAGGGGGGAGGGTCACACACGCACTCACATTGCACCAGTCGATCACGTGTTCCCTTTCTTATGTTTGACTGAAAAGATAAATCTCCACAATCTCATCCGACAATAATGACTTTTTTCTTTTACAGGTTTTTATATGACAATGGTTGCTATAGAGATGTGTGACACGGTTGACCTGTACGGATTCTGGCCTTTCAATACTACTGGCACTGGGAATAATGTCAACTATCACTATTACGACGACTTGGTTGGCACAAAAGCTCACAATTTCTCTGCGGAATTCTCCATTTTAAACAAGCTGCACCATGACGGAATCATCAGAATTAATATCAGAAAATGCCAGAACAGTGCAGCCAACAGTAATAATGTCTCAACTGAAAAGTCCACAATAAAAGTAAAATAATTCTAACGACTGTGGGGTTTGTTGCGTAAACCGGCATTTATTAATAACACAATATTAATGTTGGTGCATCTTGTCAGACCGTGTGGAAAGATTATAATCCATACTACGTGTTGTTACCATAGCAACAGTTAGACCAAACGTTATTTCTGTGTCAAATACAACAGCCTCATAATGTTGAATACAATATTTTTCAAAATTTTTGTGCACGTCATATATACCCTGAATGTAAGCATTATTGTTGCGTATGTTTGTGGAGTTTTGACTCCCGTGTGCGAATCACACAATGCGACTCTTTGCAGTTAGTGCGTCTGTGTGTGTATGTGTGACCGCCTGCTACACTGACACCTCAAGAACCAATATATGCTCTCGGTGAATGCGCAGATCTGATTAGTTTTGGGTAGAAATCTATGCATATTAAGGTAGAGATGCAGGTTTTTTTTTTGCTTTTTATTATTCAAACAGACTTGGCTATAGACTGTTAAAATTTTATAGAATTGTGAATAGTGGAACATACTCAAAAAACGATTTTAAAATATAGATAACAGGTGCAAACATTCTCGCTTTTGAATGCTTAGCAAGATTTAACAAGGCTGTATATAAATAATAGAAAAGAAACATGGTGAAAAAAAAAGAAATGACGGGATCTCCATATTATGCACTATATTTAACTTTTACAAAACGATAATACATTTAAATTTGGAACTATTACAGCCATTTAATTATGAGCATTAGCAAACTTCTTACTGAGTGAATTTTTATGCAAATTAGCAATTATCTCAGCTTCTTTTTAGTGCACATCCCAGAAAAAATAGCTCATACAAGCTTTGACCTTTTGTTTTGAAATTTTTACAAATGATTGACAATGTGTTTATCTTCAAACCGCCATCGGGGTTTACAACAATCGTACAGACAACTAGCCTGGATGTTAATTTATGCATAAATTTGAAGTAGTGAAATTTGAGCTGCTGCCCTGTAAAATTGACAACTGGGAGACAGTTTTCAAGACGGCACTTTCTTCATAGTAAACAGATGTACCCATAAACCAAATTTTAAATCACTTTTGACCAAAAAAGCACATTTGTGTGCATATTTCAAATTACAGTGTCCATACAAATAATAGTAACAAAATTTGAAAATTCATACAATAAGCTTTCCGAAAATATACAGTTTTGTGTAGATCATCTTGGTTTCCTAATTAACTAATTAAAATACCTGTCAGGTAAACTTCATCTCTACCCTAATTACCTAATTTAAATAATGATTAGAGTATATCGGTACATAGATACCATAGGACAATGCATAGACCTGATAAGTTCAGGCTTAATATTCGAGCATATTAATCACCCTTATTTGCATAATTAGTAAAATGTTGGCTTTTCTGCTGATAGTTCAAGTACTAATTGTTAGATTTTTATTATGACTGAAAATCGTCGTTCGCCGACATTAAGCTCTATATCTCAGTGATTCATATGATTTCAGTGTTACAGTGTGAAACCTTTACATTAAGCTTTATATCTCAGTGATTCATATGAT